TTTTGACTTTGAAGTATGACAACTCTGAGGTAGGGCTTGCTCTGGACCACGTCCGTGTCACATCCTACAACCTGCACGTTTAGAAGACTGGAAATCTGAAGCAGGATAGGTCTCCAATGGTTACAAAATGTAAGCCGTTCGATGGTTGTCTGTTTCTCATTTAGCCTTTCAGGATTTTGTGACCACCAACATTGGGAACCGAGGGGGGGCCAGGACTGTCATAATCTGCAGCAAGTCGCTCCGGCAGCGTCCGAACCCTTTACCAACTAAAGAAGAACTCTATGAATCAGGGTTTCTGGCAGCTGTCATGGTTCGCTTGATACGTTTAATCTTCAAAGACTCGTAACGGCTTACATCTGTACTGCAATGAGGATCACCTCGTTCTCTTAAAGAGGGATTCAATCTTCAGAACCTGAACGATATTTACAGCTTTTCTTCTGCTTCATGATAAGAATTTTGCTAGGCCGCTGTTGGCCTTTCGCTTATGTCTTCCGGATACTCTGCAGCACACTGGCCAACCAACGAGTCCAGAGCGCGCCCGCAGCCCCTCCGTTCCCAACGAATACTCCCGTGCAATCGCCCTTCGTCAGCGCCCCGGTACCAAACCTCCCCCCGAGTAACCCGGTAGACGCGCCCCTGGGTCCGAAGAAGAGCTTCCCAGCTGTATCCTGGGGGCAGCTTGGCTCTCCTCAAGTGAGCAAGACCTCGGCTTTCGGAACGACGGCCGTTCCTTCGCAGACGCTTTCAGTCGAGGGGGCAGGGGACCGGGACAAGGGTGCCCCAGGAAACGGCGGGTTGACACGTGGCGGAACAGGAGGAGGCTGTGGGCAGGTGGATTCTGCTACAGAGAGGTGGAGTCCTTCCGGGAACAGGTCCGTTACGAAGCTGGATTTTTTTTTAGTCCCTGAGAAGTAACAACGAGCTTTCCGACAGTTCTACTCGCAAAGCCGTAAAGTCGCTGTGTCTGCTTGAACGGACCTCTAGCATCTTTGTGAAGGGGCCGAACGATCTTGCTCGCTTACAGTCCCCTCCGTTTAGATTGTCTCTCGTACTCGCTTCGCAGCGATTGTAGCACTTACGTGTAAATTCGAGTCGCGTTCGCATCAGGGCCGTTGCTTGCAACCGGTGACCTTCCTCTTTGATTTGCCTCACCTTCCTCATCTACGTTCCCTTTCTGCAGATGGCTAGTGACTGCATCAGAGACAGCAACGCCCAGTGCCCCTGCGCCGCAAACAACAGTCTTTACTCCCGCAGTCGCATCAAGCCCGCCTTTCGTCTGCGACTACCCGCCAAACACTTCCCCTTTCTCCGAACCCTTCGGCCTGAAAGAGTCCTTGGGGGGGGGCAGGTCTGAAGGGGTGCTGGTGACCCCCCAAGAAACGCTGATAGACTTTTACAAGAGCGCTCAAGAGGCGCTCCAAGCCGGGCTGGGGGTTTTGGGAGCCAGGCCGGGGGCGAATGAGCGTCCAACACGTATCAAGAGGACAGCAGCGGAGCTGTGGGGTGAGGAGCCACATCCGAAGAAGCGCTCAAAAGCTGCGGACTCGGGCGCGGGCGTGGGAGCGCGCGCCACTGACGAACCGGCCGCAGCGGAAGGGACGGGAGAGCTGGATAAATCTGTTGCGCCCGCCGCAGTCGCAACAGAAGTGGAACGGAACAGTGTGCCAGCGGGGAGTGGGGGAAAGGGCGACCGTGCAGGGAGAGAAGCAGTCGCAGCAGGCGCCCAGATCGTTCCCCCAACCTCTGTTCTTTCCCTGAGCAATCTACCGGCGACCTTTGCACCGGAGCCGTCTCCCGACGGAACGGACCCGGCCAAAAGCAGCGATTCAGAGCCCTCCCGCGAAGACGAGGTCCCGAGTTCCGCTCCGCAATCTTTAACAGAAGCAGCGGATTCCAAGCCTCGGCAGAAGTATCCGCCGTTTTCCCGGCAGGCCCTGTTCCAAGAGGAGCGCGCCGTGATGAACGCCCTCTTGCGGGCCGTGCATGCGCAGGGAGGCCCCAACAGGGCCCCCGTTCCTCTCTCCGCTGCTGGGCAGAGACTGCGCTCCAGTGGCCTAACCGTGTGGGGGAAACATCCTAGGCCGTCCGTGAGAGCGCGCCAGCACCCCCTGTTCTTCATCATTCACACCAAGGCCGATCCCGAGGGAAAGGACGTCCCTGCTGACGTCAGCCTGACGCAATGGGGGTGGGAGGAGGCCGAACGGCTGCACCAGGAGGAGGAGGCCGCGAAGATGACGTCAGCCGCGGCCGCGCCGCCGCTCGTCAGCTCGTTGGTGGGCGGCGGGGTCACTGTGGCGAGGCCGGTTGGCGAAACAGGCGGAGAAGGACTAGAGTGTAACTTCGCAGAAGAAGGCCCTGAAGGACCTCCAGAGGGTTTGCCGGGAGGACTTGAGAGGACGCATGAGGTCGGGAAGGAGCCGCCAGGGGAAAAGTCAAAGGTACCCAGCTTCCAGGAGCCGGGGGCATCGACCGGTGGTCTTGTCCAGGGAGGAGCGGACGGGAGAAGCGGGGAAGAAAGCGAGGGGGAGCCAAAGCTGAAGGACACCGCAATGGCCCCCGAATATGCGGGACAAGATAACGAAGGAGCCGGGAGTACCCTCACGTGATTTCTTCCCGACAGGGGCCGTAAGTCTAACCGGGAACGAAAGTGCGGACCGAGCAAACGTCAAGGCGGCCGAAGTGGACGTCATGGACGTGGGGAGTGCTGACGTCGTCTTAAGGTGAGGGAGAGTTTTTGTGCACCGTGACCTCAAGTTCAATAATTGGCTATATTCCATCACAAATGCAGAGTAGCTTTGCTTCTTCTGCGATTAAGAGGGGTTTGCAGAGAAGGTTCCTCTCATCTTGCAAATACACGCATTACAAACTAGTCGTCAGCGGTGTGTATGGAGAGCTTGTTTTGAGGACGCAATCTTAGAGCGACTTCTCTTTGTACCGTGTTTCAGCCCTTGCATCTGTTGCATGGTCGACCAGAAGTCAACGTCAGCTCTGTTCCTTTTTCGAAGAATTTCTTCGCTTTGGAGGCGGATTTTGGATTCATCGTGTCTGGCTGCAAACAAGCGGCATCAACATACTCAAAGCATACCTTCATCCAGCCCCGGTGCGAGCCTTCTCCTTGTTCTTCTGGCCATGACTTATCCCTCCAGGAGCCCAGTGCTTGATCGGTCGCTGGAAACTCCATCGAAGCTTCGCCTGAACGGCCTTTGCTCCGATCCGATGCAGTCAACCTGGAGTTCAACCGGCGGAAATTGCGCCCTCCGCCGCGGCCGCGCAACCGACGCCCGCAAGTAATCCGCCTCCCAAGACCGCGAGCGAAGCCCTGGTGAAAGCCATCCTCCGGGTGCGCAACAAGGTCGTGCAGACTCCGCCAGCGGAAGCGGAATCCGTCAGGGGGGCGGTAGTTCATACCGAGCAGTCGACGCCGATTGAAGAGGGCCGTGTAGAGGCGACTGTAGAGACGAAAATGGTCGAAAACGTAAATGAAAGCGGAAACGGAGCCGAAACCGGAACCGGCAACAGGAACGGGAGAGGGCCGGAAACGGAGCTGCCCAGAAGTTTGACGCCGACTGGTTCAATTGAGAACGTAGAAGCGGGCATGAAGAGGAAGGCAGAAGGCGAAGGAGGAGGACTGGTGGGGCCAGGGGAAGGGGACATTTGCCCAATGAAACGCCAAAAGCGGTCGGAAGCCGGCGCGAATGAAAGAGAAAGCGGTGGCTCGGAGAGTGCAGCGTGGCAGTCAGTCACGGCAGATTTTGAAGAGAATGACGAAATGTTCAATGTCGAAAAAACGGATCTTGAGGCCAAACCGTTTGATGAGCCTGCTGCTACCGGGGCCGCTGAACCGACCGGTTCTGCAGAAGAGCGGCCGACTGAAGCACCGCCCGAAGTGAGGCAACCGGGGAAAGAGGACGAGAGCCATGAGAGTGTAGTGGAGGGCGATCCGGCGCGCCTCCAGGAGACTCCGGCGGAACGGATGTCCGAGCAGGGAAAGACGGAGATGGGACGCCCCGAGTCTGGGGTTGGCGCACCCAAAACAGAAGGCGTGACGTTAGAGAAACCTTTGATGGAGATGCTGGCAGGGTTTGGGGCGCGCCCACCGGCCGCGTCTTCCGAACCGGGAGATGCGACCAGAGAGAAAAGAGAGTCGGCAAAATCAGTCCCGGAGGATCGTCCGCCTTGCGTTCCGCTTGCGGAGCCAATCGCGCTTAGAGCGGAATCGGAAGAACGGAAAAGCTCGGCGGAAGGAGGGCGCGCCGCAGAACGGAAGGTCTCCGTGGTACGGACCAGCTCAGCGGAGCAGAAGCGCTTGCTGGAGAACGAGAGCGCGGTCGGGGCCGATCAGAAGGTCGACGTCGGAAGCTCCGCCAAAACTCCTCAAAAGCCTGTGAACGCAGCCGGAAAAATAGGGCCCACGGGCGGCCTCAAATCAGATGGCGCATGTACACCAGTAGCGGTCACTGGGGGAATGAGCAAGGACTCGTCTGGTGGGAATCGGCCCGCTTCTAGCAGTCGTTTTCCGCTTACTCTGTCACGCCCCCCGCGAGCTTCCCTCTGGATGATCCGGCGAACAGGCCCATTGGCGAAGCTCGTAAGCAGTGGCTGAATGCTTGGCGGGAGAGGGCGGCAGCCGCAAGCCCGGGGAAAAGCACCGGGCACATGGTTGGAGCGCAGTTTCCTGGAGGTGCGGGGCTGGAAGATGACCAACAGGGGCTTGGATATGGCTCTCCCGGGCTGAACACTCCGGTCGGTGTGCCGCCGGCGGACTATGTGGGCGGCGGAAGCA